AGTTCATAGTGGTGAGAGGGCCTGATTTCCGTAGTAGGAGCTTCTATGTGCGTATTAGATGTGGAGCTGAAAGCGTGGCAGGAGCCTCGGGATCTGACGAAATCAAGCATGTCATGAGTGCTGCACTGGCTTCAGACCCTTGAGTAAACGCATGCGTTGTTTGTTAAAGCAGTCTGTGCAGTCCAGTCAGTCCATGCGTGACGAAGGGAGGTCACTGCCCAATTGTGAGCTACGCTCTTCCGCCACGCAACAGTTACTGTTCATTGGTGATGCATGATGCTGGGGTCGTCTGCCTGCTTGCTTTGCCCTGGGAGTTGCAACATGCTGTGGTCTGACTTACCCACCCTGTCTCCTTCTTCGTAGGTCCCCAACCCACGACAGCTGCGTGCAGCCATGGCTCAGCACTGCATGACTGCGGCAAATGGGAAAACTACGATCAATGCTGTTGGGTTGGGACAGTATGCGACATTGGCGCGTGGAGCTGCTGTGGGACGACTGTCGTGGCTCGGCACTGCAGCGGCAAATGGGAATGCTACAACCACTGCAGCTGGGCTGGGACAGTTTGCGACATTGACGCGTTGAGTTGCTCTCAGACGACCCTGTTGACTGCGCACGAGCTCAGCATGTCAACGACAGTTAGCGGGGGCACACCTCGGACATGTGCACTGGTGTCCTGAGCTGACAACGCGGCTGAACTGGAGACGACCAGACTACCGGATGTAAATATCTGTGCTCCACATAGCAGAACACGACCGTTGTGTGGAGCGCCACCTGCATGTGGAATTGGACGCTGCATTTTTCAGCATGTATACATGTGGTTTGGAATTTGGTGGCTTGAATTTGATGAATTTGGCTACAACGGCGAGGCCATGAATTCACGGTCTGGTGCCTGCATTGAAGAATCCACAAACTGCATGATGATACGCAAGCTGCATGACCAGAGAATTCAAGATGGCACTGGAAACTGACTCAGAATGCATGCTGTGGGAATTTGCTACAGCGCTGGAGGACCGAAGCACAATGCATGCTGCATGGTCTGGAGTACGGACAAATG